AAGTATTTACTTGGACACAACAGATACCTCATACATTTATACAAGGTTTACAGAAAAATATTAATTTCCCAAATTCATAAAGCAGCAAAATATTACCCACAATTATGCAGAATACATGTATACAGTGACACTAAGCTCCGGTGTTAAACCTAAAAAATGCATTCAAGTACCTTAACTATTAACAAAAATGTATCTTATTTGTGCATCACCCAGCTGTAGATCATCAAATCATCTCTGACTTGGTGCTTACACTTTCCTTCCTTCTGGAGGGTGGCTGCTTTTTGTTCCCCATGGTCCTCGTGTGTGTTGTAACGTAGCCACCGCACCAAGCTCCTGCCTGTGATATTGTATTTGAGCTTGGAGTGGTGACTACATTACAACACACACAGGAACCATGGGGAACCAAAGTAGCCTTCTGCAGAAGGAAGGACAGTGTCAGCACCAATTCAGAGATGATTTGAGGATCTACAGCTGAGTGATACACAAATAAGATACATTTTTGTTGTTAAGGCAGTTGAATGCATTTTTGGAGGTTTAACACCTGAGTTTAGTGTCACTTTAATATACATAAGTACTTGTGATCTAACGCCATGCAGAAGCACACTTGCACATGAGTTTCGCACATTTCTTACAATAAGAGTACATTTCTGATCTTGCCGATGTCAGAGACCTCGCATAGGGGCATCTATTAAGACCATTGAAATGCCAATAATGAAAGAAGTACCATTGACACAGCTGTTATTTTGAGTATTTAGACCAGCTAGACTCACCAAAAGAATATGATCACATCATTTATATTCTGATCGCGCACCAGTTATATACGACTATTTAAAAAAGATGAATAATAATGTACAGACCAGATGCAGTACTGAAATACTGAAAATCTATTACAATGTATTTTCACTAAAAGTACAAAAGGATTAATGTGTTCCATCAGCAAAAAGCTAATTAAATAATATACATTTTAAAATGCCATTTTACTGTGCATTACTTATTAGTCATGTCACATGGCAATCTACTAATTATAGATCAAACTATTTTTCTCAAGTAATTAGTCCCATATGGTCATGTCATTAAATAAAGCCAGTGTAGCTGAGGCTGAATATAGCTAATCTGAGCCTTTCCTAACAATCGCATCTTGGATTGCACCTTTCTGGAAGATTGGTTTCTCACGTCAAACCATGGTTGCTTAATGTGATCTGTGTTCCCTTTAAAGTTTAACTGTAGAGATTTCGGTATTTATAGAAAGTAAATCTCTAAAATAAGCCCTCATTGACCCCTGTAACTGCCTGCACTGTGGAGCAATGTATCCTCAAATTTCACAGCAGAAAAAATGAAATCAATTAAGTCTATCAGCAGCTCAGCTTCCCTTGCTCCTGGCAGTGACTTGGCAGCCTACCAACCTTCTAATCTCTAATCTAAACACATAGCAAATGTTCGAGGAGAAACAGGATGAGCTGCGCTACTGCAAACAAGGCTTAAACAAGCACTTCTGCTGTGGACTTTAAGGCTACAGCCCCTGCAGGTATAGAGGTAATTTATGGCTTTTTTAAGAATATGTTAATACTTGAATGTCCACAGCCTGGTCAAATGTCCATTTTAATGTTCCGTTTGCTGAAAAACATATCTCCAAGGAGAAAGAAAAAAAAACACCACCCTTGCAGTGGGGCTCCCTCCACACTGAAAGGGTAAAATGCTCATTTAGGTCTATGGTATTGGGTAAAGAAGTGTTACTTACCTGATCCCTGCTTCCGCAGCAGTCAGCGCTCCTCTCATCTCCCCTAAACTTTGGCTTGTGGACTTTCCATCTGCATACTCATGTATAATGCAGGACTATGGGGACTGCATTGTACTTGAGGAAATTAGATTGCTAGAGCGTAGGGAAAAGAGGTCGAGGGTTTTGGTCTCGGAGCCTGTGGGAGCAGGGATCCAGTAGGTAAGTGCTTTTCCCAGCTGTGCATATAGAACTGTTGGCTTAAGGCCTGCTTCTCACTGAGCGTTTTGTAGTGCTTTTTCTGCCTTAAAAAACGCCCAAAAAATATGCCCCCCAAAAATCCTTTTAATTTCTATGTCCCTGTTTACATCTGAGCGTTTTGTCACAATAAGCAAAACGCCTGTCCTGGAAAAAGTACATGAGTTTTTTTGGGGCATATTACAGCTCATTCTGGCCCCATAGACCCAATAGGAAACGCTTAAAAACACGTATTTGCTGTGTTTGTGTGCACATTTTATGCGTGTTTGCTCATTGACCTCTTGCCGTCCGCCCGTTAAGAAAAAACGGACGGCAGACTCGCATTTTAATACCACCAAAAGAAAGCTCTATCTGTCCCCCAAAAAGGGTATAAAATTAATTTCAGTACAGCGCTGCATGACGGAATAAATGTCAGTCAAAGTACAGCAGCGCTGAATACTGAAAAATGGCCTGGATGGGAAGGGGGTTTAACACCCCCGGATGTAAACTGGTTAACATCAATGAGCTTCAATCTGCTCATAAGAACGCGCAACCGGATTTATGCGCATAAAGCGTGTGTGAAACCGCACGTAAAAACGTGCAAAAAATGCTTTCGCCTAGGTGTGAACCAAGCCTGAAGCACAGAAACAGCCTAGAACATGCATACATTCCTCCAACTCTCCTGTGTCAGGTTTGACAGCTCTCAAAACATGGCATATGGGTTTCCTGACATCTACGGAGTAGGTCCTTGGGTGACAAGACAATAACAAAAAGTGACTAAAGAATGCTTCAATAAAACATTGAGGCACAGAATTGCATGTTAACCCCAAAACTGAATAAGCAACCTGCAGTGTGATAACAACTGTCCGACAATTTGCCAGTTTTGTTTGACCTGTCCTATTCAAAAGCAAAAGTAAAATGAGCCGTCATACCAGCTGAACCGTTCCTGTACTGTTTAGCAGCTCTTCAAGCACAATGAAGCCAAACTACTTGCAATGATATTTCAGTATACAAGGAATAGATGGCACCATGTGCAGATAAATTATATCTGTCTTGAAAGTAATTACTTTTGTGCATGTGGTCCAGCCAAGAGACCAATTTTCACATCAATTTCTTCTACATGCTGCAAGTCTAGACCCTAACACGCCCCTTCCTTATTTATATAAGAAACACTCCCAGCCCCCAGTCCTTTGTTTTCCGCTTACAAATGACAACAACAAGGGAGGCACATGCTATGGTCATTCTCTGCCTATATTAATGTATTTGCCACACCCCGATTGCCAAATTTTAGAAGCTGTAGTCAGAGTAGTGATATATAATGGTCAAGAAGCAGCTCCAGGCTATATACTGCTCTAACGGTACATATTTTAAAACCACACATGCACAAAAGGAATCATGGCAACCAGTTTGTAAATCTGTCAATATTCTAAAGATATTGAACAGGCTTTAAAACTACATTGCAGCCCAAGATTTCAGACCTGCCAAACTGCTGAAGAGGTGCAGAAGAAAGGGAACAACACAAATAGTTGTCCAAGTATACACCGATCGGCCAGAACATTATGAACACTGGCAGATGAAGTGAATAACATTGATTTTCTCGTTACAATGGCACCTGGAAGTGGGTAGGATATACTAGGCAGCAGATTAATATTTTGTCCCGAAAGATTTTGTGCCGTGAGTAAAAAAAAAAAAATGGACAAGTGTAAGGCTCCGAGCAACTTTGACAAAAGCCAAATTGTGATAGCTAGATGACTGGGTCAGATCAACTCCAAAATTGCAGCTCTTGTGGGATGTTCCCAGCCTGTAGTGGTTCAAGGAAGGGGAAAAAAGGCAAACTGATGACAGGGTCATGGGCGTCAAAGGCTCATTGATGCACGTGAGGAGAGAAGGCTGGACCGTGTAGTCTGATCCAATAGAAGAGCTACTGTAACTCAAATGTTGCCTGTTCTAATAATTCAGGATTTCTTTTACATCATGTGGATTGCCGGGTGCGTGTTTGTTGCTTACATGGGCAAGAGATGGCACCAGGATGCACTATGGGAAGAAAACAAGCCAGCAGAGACAATGTGATGCTTTGAGCAATGTTCGGCTGGAAAACCTTGGGTCTTGCCATTCATGTGGATGTTACTTTGACATGTACCACCTACCTAAACATTGTTTCTGACCAAGAACACCCCTTCATGGGAACGGTATTACCTGATGGCAGAAGCCTCCTTTCAAGAGCATAACACGTTCCCTGCCACACTGAGAAAATGGTTCAAGAATAATTTGAGGAACATAACAATGAGTTTGAGGTGTTGACTTGGCCTCCAAATTCTACAGATCTCATCCAATTGAGCATCTGTGGGATGTGTTGGAAAAACAAGTCCGATCCATGGAGGCCCCACCCTGCAACTTAAGGGATTTAAAAGGATCCGATACTGACCGCTTGGGGCTGGATACCACAACATACCTTCACAGGTCTAGTGGAGCCCATGCCATGGGTCAGGGCTGTTTTGGTGACAAAAGGGGGATCTACTCAATATTAGTTGGGTGGTCATGTTACAGGTTGCCGGTGTATATATTTCATAACATTCAATAACAACAAGTCAATACATTTCAAGGATTCAGAAAGCCCCGTTTCATCAGGGCTCTGGAATACTGCTTATGAGGAAAATATTCCAGATTCAAATTGGTTAAAAATTTGAGGTTTATAAGTTAATATTTGATGGGTTAAAAAGCAGGCTTCAGCAGCTGGTTTACACACCTGGAAAACAGAGGAAGACTGCCTTAAATGGGACTATAGGCGATTTCTAAATGATGGCATGCACGCTAAACAGAATTATTCTTTGTTAATATGTAGTCTCACAGAATATCACCACCTTCAAAATGTTGCTTCAAAATCTAACGAAGGAGCATTAGACAAAACTGTTCTTCAATAAACAATTTCTGCCCATTCTCTTATTCTTCAAATTTTTATTTTCAGCATGTAGAATATAATGTAACACAAGATTAAAGCGGAAAAGAATGATAAGTACTGGAAAAAAAAAAGAAAAATGACAAGACTCACCTTAGTTGAAAGTACTTTAAATGTACTTTGATCTGGCACAATTGAGTGAAACAGGAACAGCATTAAATTGTATATTTCTCCTGATGGTAGCTTCACATTTACATTTAACTATAAAAGAAGAACATTTTGAGTTAATACAGGCCATCACACAATGAAAGAAAACATATCATGCAGTCAGTATCATTATAGGAAACAAAATGAACAAGACATCGGATTTCTGTGACAATTCCTTCATTTTGTTGGCAAAAATGGATTTGCAAAGAAAATAGTCTTAATTAGGATTCAAGGTTAGTAGTAACTGCAACAAAATATACTGCAGCACAGGCATTCACTGACAGTTGCAGTGAGCAGGTGGTTCTTTTCATGTTTTGTAAATGCGCCTGTCAGACTGACATGAACTTGTGCTACTAACAAATAATCAAAGTACCAGCATTATAAAGAACGACATAGGGAGACAAATAATATGCACCTGTCAAATTTCTAAGAGTGGGCACAATGCTCCATACAAGAACAGGCCTAACTGGCTTGATGAGCCATTTACTTAGGAAAAAAAGTAATAAAATATACATACAATTTTTTTAAATATGGTAAAAGTTGTATGTAAGTCTACATGTAAGTGCAGTGGGGCTTCCTCCACAATGAAAGGGTAAAATGCTCATTTAGGTCTATGGCATCGGGTAAAGAAGTGTTACATACCTGATCCCTGCTCTTCTCATCGCCCCTACACTTTGGCTTGTGGACTCCATCTGCATACTCATGTATAATGCAGGACTATGGGGCCTGCATTGTACTGGAGGACATTAGATCGCTAGAGCGTAGGGGAAAAAGAGGTAGAGGGTGCTGGTCTTGGAGCCTGTGGGAGAAGGGATCCGGTCGGCAAGTGCTTTTCCCAGCTGTGCATATAGAACTGGTGGTTTAAGGCCTGCTTCTCACTGAGTGTTTTGTAGCGCTTTTTCTGCCCTAAAAAAATATGCCCCCAAAAAATCCTATTCATTTCTATGGCCCTGAAGCTTACCTGAGCTTTAGGTGAGAATAACTATTTTTGAACCTTTACACAAACGAGCACTTAACCCTTGCAGCGTGGGGGCAGCCCCACTGCAAGGGTTTTAAAAAAATTAAAAATTTCCTGCAGTACTTCTTTAAAGTAGAACTACCTGAATCTATTGAAAGTGCTGGTAAAGCTACTAAAACTTGCGACAATGCTTTTTTTTATTTATTTGGCACTAGACCTTTTAAAGGCCCATACCTACAGAAAGGTGGCACATAGCCTTTATTGAATCTCCCCCATCCCCAAATCTGCTTAACTTAAGCACACACAAAGCAACTGTACTCTTTCAGGTCTTTACTGAACACATTGGGGCCATTTATAAAGGAAAATTAATATTGCTATCTGCTCTCTTACAGTTACCGTAGTGTTTATTCCCCACGTGCAATGCATGTAACAGGTGATTAATAAAATGCAAAGAGCAGTGTGCAGCCTGTGATGTTTAATAGCGTAATCACTGCACAATGCTGCAGAAAGCATTGATAGGTTATGTGACTGGGATGGCCTCCACCGAGCTGACCACCCACTCCAATTTATTAGTTTGAATGGGGCCTCACTTTTTTTGGAGAAAGGAAAGAAAGAAAAGAAAGGAAAGAAAAGAAAAGAAAAAAGAAAGTGAAGAGGTGAGCACATTTGTAAATTACATCGCTGTCCTTCGTAGACCCCCCATTTTTTTTCCTTGTGTGCATAGGTCTCTTCAGGTAGGGCCACCGATTCTCAATTGAATCATGTTGCAGATTTCACACATTTTCAAAAAAAATGTTCTTGTGTTTAAAGGTGGCCACAAACCAGTTAAATTGTGCTTAGATTTACAGATATCTATGTGGCACAAGGGAGCACAGTGCAGATATAATATAACAAGCTGTTGAGATAACCTAGCTATTGGAAAACATTTTTTATTGATAAATGGCTCTTTTTCAGATTGGTCTAATGTTGAGAGTGGTGTTCCGCAAGGTTCTGTGCTGGGCCCCATACTGTTAAAACAGGTTTATTAATGATATTGGGGAGGGTGTTAATGGCCATGTTACTGTGTTTGCTGATGGTACTAAAATTGGGAGGGTAACAGACATGGGCTTCGATATTATAACATTACATGAGGACCTGGATAAAATAGAAGAGTGGGCGAATATATGGCAGATGAGGTTTCATGTTGAAAAATTTAAAAGTAATGCATTTTGTGGTTAAAACAGGCAAGAGGAATACATAATAATGGGTACTCCACTAGGGAAGTCAGAAATGGAAAATGATTTGGGGCTCATAGTAGGCCATAGATTGAATAACAGTTTGCAATGTCAGGCAGCGGCAAACAAAGCTAGCAGAGTACTGTAAAAAGGGAATGTACTGTAGAGACAAAGCTATAATTTTGCCACTTTATAGATCTCTGGTTCAGCCTCATATTGAATATGTGGTTCAGTTTTGGTCACCAATCCACAGAAAAGATGTTGTGGAGATGGAGAGAGTCCAGAGAAGGGAAACGAAACTAATTAAGGGGCTAGAGGGCCGAAAAATACGAGACGAGGCTGCTAAATTTGGACTTGTTCACGCTGGAAGTGAGGCGATTAACAGGGGAAATTATTTTAATGGACAAAATGTTTAGTGGTGATGGCAAAATCCGCAATAAAAACTTTTTAATGTAAGTTCCATAACAAAGACTAGAGGCCACCACCTAAAATTGGTGTAGAAAAGGTTTAACCACAGGGGGCGTATGGGAATCTTTTCAGTCAGAGCGAGTACATTTTGGAACTCTCTGCCATGAGCACTGGTATCAGCAGAGAGTATTGAATCATTAAAAAATCAATTAGATACCATCCTAAGAGGCCGTAACATACAGGGGTACAGGTACTATTAAAACCTAAGACGGCACAGGGGCTCATATACACACATGCACACACTTACACAGAAAGGTTGAACTCTATGGATCCGTGTCTTTATTCAATCTCAAATACTATGTAACTATAATTTGGGTTTAATGCTGGTGTGGATTCAGAGTTCGCAGGGAGGGATGCCTGTGACTGCTTGACTCATGGAGAGCATCTATAGTGGCTTTTAAACAATATAACAACTGTGGTAATTGGTGTGCAGCAACACGAATGCAAAATCTTTAGCATTTAGTTATGCAGGCATTATAATTATAAGGTTAAAAAAATGACAAAAGACAGTGGGGGGAATTTATCAAAACTTGACCAGGCAGAATCTGGAGCAGTTGCCCATAGTAACCAAACCGCTTCTCTTTTCATTTTATTCAGTTAAGGTTTGAAAAAAAGAAAGATAAAAGCTGATCGGTTACCATGGGCAACTGCTCCAGATTCTGTCTGCTCCAGTTTCGATACATTTCCCTCAATGTAATTCAGTGTTCTTACCCTACTTCAGAGCTGCAAAATGGTATTAGATGGTGCATCTATCATTTTGTAGCCCCGAATAAGGGGTAAAACCCAGGAAAAGCATAAACTTGCACCTTAACCTTTCCATGATGGAAGTTCTAGTCTAAAATAAAATGTAGTCACAAAAGCATTAGTGCACATTAGAGCCAGTGTGACAAAACGTTAATTACATAGCAGCTTCAATTAACACTGGCATCTTAGTTTAGGTTGAGAACCTGTGGTTTGAGTTACTCACCAGCTTCTTTTTTTTGGCATGGAATCCCCAACAATGAGATTCAACAGCAGCGGCTTCAATTTTTCTGAACTGCCGCAAGGTCAAAATGGAGGTGCCACTCTTTTGCAAATCGACTTCTCAATAGTTTTAGGGATGCACTATTACCGAGTACTTTCACAAGTACGCGTACTTATAAAAATGTCCCGATACTAAGCGTTGATAACGGCGCTTTAAATTTTTTAACTGAAGTAGCTGCCTGAGGTCCCAGGCTTGCTGGGGACCTCAACGACCTTCTTGTGAACCACGGCACCTGTTTACAGTGCCAGCTGCACATCTCCTCCTCTTTACTGGGAAACCCCACCGCCCACGAGACCCTCCGACCTCTGGTAAGACCCTGCACTGCCCGTCTGAGACCCTGAAGACATCAGGCTGCCACCCCGGAGCAACACCGAGTATGTAGTTTCATATTATTCTGCATTGCTGTATAATGTATTACTGGTATTTGTAGTCCTCTACAGCTGATAGTGTTCTGCATTGCTGTGTAATGTATTGCTGGGATTTGTAGTCCTCTACAGCTGGTAGTATTCTGCATTGCTGTGTAATGTATTGCTGGGATTTGTAGTCCCTCTACAGCTTGGAGTCAGTGGCTGAACTACCAGGGTCACAGTGGTTGCAGCTGCGACCGGGCCCTGGTGCATCACCACTGCCCTAAAATCGTTAGTAGGCATGCACCGATACCAAGTACAGTACTCAGTACAAGTCAAAAGTTAGGAGGCAGCTGTCATTTGTAAGGAACACACAGAGCTCCGGGATTTGTACATCTCTGTTTTAATGTATGATTTTGTTTTTATAAATATAAATAAAGGGATGCACAGATACCAGTTTTGCGAGTACGAGTACTGGTACTTGCCCAACTACTTACAAGTACGAATACTGATACATTTTTGTTTTATCATGTGACAGTTTTTCCAAATCAATACCAACTAATGATTTCAGGACAGTGGTGGATCGCCAGAGCCAGGTCCCAGCTGCAAACACTGCAACCCTGGCAGTTCTCATGAAAATGCCAAGTATTCGCATTGGTACTCGAAAAGTATCGGTGCATCCCTAATCGTTAGTCTGTATTGTTTTAGAAAAACTGTCACATGACACTAAAAAAAAAAAGTAATTGGTATCAGCAAGTACTCGAGGAAGGTATCGGTACTCATACTAGGTCTTGAAAAAAATGGTATCCATGCATCACTAGTTTGTTTATTGATTATACATTCCTTGGCGTAAAGCTGGCCAAATACTGCTTGAATTTCAACAGATTCCTGCTGAATCAGCCAAACTTCGAGCCATGGGTGACCCTGCTGGCACCCCTCTCTTGACAAAAGTTGATTTTTCAATAGATTTTAAACAGGGAAAAGCTTGCCCTAAATTTGCACATTGCTATATGTCACAGAGTTGGGAATTTAGATAATTTTAA